CACTTCTGTAGTACAAGTCTGTTACACTTTGTGTATACATATATGTACCTCGGGTACATATATGTAGTACGTGATACTACCTTTAGGCTTTAGGCTTTACGTGTTTTTACTACGTCAGTACGTACTACGTGTACGTGGGCCCTTACGGTTACCTTTGCATCATCACATATTGGATTCGCTATTCCCATCCTTGGTTCTCCATAGTGATGTACATGCTTTGCGAATGAAGACGCGACTGCTAGCACAATCAGGCAATAAAGATGTAACATCTTTCTATACTCTTAAACTCACATCTGAGTAAAGATGCACAAGAATTTTCACAGGAACTGAGCTGTGATTCAGCTCAAACGAGATGAACAATGTTTATTGACGATCGCGCCATCTAACGACCACTATAATAAAAAAATGTAGGTGACATCACTAACCACCTATCTTGTGAGCTGAGAACAATATATAAACACAATATAACAACGTATATATTGTTTTCAGTCTCTCAAACGGGGTCGCGGAAGTGGGTTTCAGTGGAGTCGTGAGAATTTTGAGTTGGATGATTGGATCATGTGCCTACTCTGTACTCATACAAATTGGAAATTAGTCCCTGCCTAAAAAATATAGTGACTATTGCGCCACCTATTGTGTAAATTTATCAACATGGCGCAGTTCAGGTAGGAATTTTAGGTTGCAGTAATAAAATTACGAAATACTCCACCTAAACAATAGTTACCAGTAAACAGCATTGTAAAGTTTTATTATATACCTATGAGTAGCACTATGAATGCCTTTGATTATTGAGTGTTCGCGTGGATATAGTTAAAACCCCGGCCACCTGTTAGTGAATCACTGAATAGTGTTACTGAATGTGTTAGTGACTCACTGACTCAGTGACTGTACTTCACGAATCACAGTCTTGTAAGTTGTATTTGTAAAGTAGCTGAAGCAAAAAATGGGTACCGGTTAGTGTGTTAGATCCTGCACACAACCTACCTAATAAACTGCGCCACGTGTTGATCTCCGACAATCCTGCAGAAGTGGCAGGGCTTTAATGTTAGATTAAAATGGTAGAGTAGAAAACTTGGCTTTTTATACCTAAGCCAAGGCTGATAGTACTAAGAGTGTATAATACTAATAGGTAGTATAGGCTAATAGTAATATTGTTATAATTAATAACTTCACACCTATACTACTACTACTAGTACTACTATTACTAGTACTACTATTACTAGTCTATAGACTATAGTACACAAATTGCAGAGTTTTCCACCAGATGTGATTATAGGAGATCTGATCTGCGCTGTTGGCCACAAGAAACTATGGCTGAAATTTCTATTTAATTTGTGGATAGATGTGAAGTTACTGTATAAAAATACTAATTTTGGTAATTTTTAACATTTTTTTCCAAATTATTTAGTATTTACTCTACAATGAGAGTACATCTATTTCTGCGTAAAATGCGGCATATATAGAATGTGGAGGTGGCATAGTTTCTTAGGTAGGCATAACCGGACCAGGCTGTGTGACTAACGTCAATACACCGGTCGGTATACACCGTCGGTATTCTAACCCTAGCAATACCGTTTCTTGGAGCTAAGGTAGGCAGTGTGAAGGATGTAACACACTACCTGCATAAACTTGCCATTGGCATTGTTAGTGTTACTGTTAGTGTTAGTGACCTCATAACCTCAAAAAAATAATTTTCTTCAAAATCTCCGAGTTCTCAGCGAAAAATAATTAGGCTAACACTGAATGCCTGCTACATAGTGTTTACATAAATAAAAATAATATAACATAAATATACATAAATATTATATTTATATAACATTAATTCAATATTAATTTTAATAATTGTAAAAACTTTTGCATGTGCCAGACAAGGAAAGTTTCAAATTGTTGTTTATAAGCATGTTTGAAATTGCAGGCAGCAAGGGCAAGAATTTGGAATGATGCCCTTGCCACCCGGACAGATGCAATATTCCCATGGAATGGCCCCAATACAACATCAAATGTTCCAGCAACCTTTAACTAGCACTATGGCATCTATGGTACTTCTGACATTATTATACTTGATTTAGTTTGTTTCTATTCAATTTTTTTTCCATTATCAGCCAAAAATCGCATGTAATTTGGATTTTACGCTACTGAAATATCATTGTTTCAGGTTGGATTCCAAGCACAGCCAACCTTTCAATCACAGTATACAACTGTACCTCCTGGTAGCATTGGGATGGCTGGAAGGTCACAAATCCAACAAATGGGGTAAATAGTTATTACACTCGTAGAATGTGAAATTACCATGTTATAATTTTTAGCTCATCTGACATAGTCAGATGCAGCTTGTAGAATCGCTTGATCGTCCGTCCGTGCGTCCGTCCGTCACAGTTGAGCAAAAATCTTAAAGCGCCTCGAACGTACGGTCGACGAATATTCGGGATGTGTGGGGCGGTAATCCGAAACGAGTTGGAATGTCGAAGCTGGGGGTCAAAGCGTGTCAACAGGTCAAGACGGTGTAAAAGAAGGGGGAACATTCACTCTTAAACTTAAGGTATTGAGAGTGAAATGCGAAGTTGCGGGCACAAATCTAAAACGGCCTCGAGCTATCGGCTCGCTGTAGTCGGTGTTTAAGCTCATGGTAGGAAAAGCCATCACGTGTGCCGAATATTGGAAGTACAGGTCAAAGTCATGTGGGCACAGGGCAGATTTTAGACATTTATTGAGGAACATGGTCTGACGGAAGACCGATGTGAAAACTATTTTTGCTTTCGAGGGTGACTAGCATTTTATGGCTTATCTGAAAGGACATGAATGTCCCTTTCTGGCTGACATGCGAAGATAATGTGGATAACCTTTTTGACCCTCAGAGGAGGGTTAAACTATGATTTGTTGACTGTCTGTTAGAAAGATTTGACTGTGCCGGTGTTTGCTAGTAGAATCTTATTCACATGCTGCGATGTTTTATTATGAGGCTACAATGTCACAGTGACAAATTTTCAAAAGCTAAATTTGGTTAATAGAAGAGTGGTAATATTCTGTAAAGTCGTATCATGTTCTATGCTCATTCTGTAACTCGTCAGTATCGTTACATGTAACGTATGCCAGTGCCAGTAGCTGTGCAATGTGTTGGGCGAGTTTTTGGCTTGCATTAATTGGTTGCAGTGGCATGCTTCTACTTGCTTTTGCAGCACTGTAGCTTGGCGTAGGTAAAATGGATGAGTGCTTACCTATATTCTGTCTTGCAATAGTTGTTGCTACTAAGATGAAGTGGGAAGGCTTCCATCTTTAATCTTGTAAGACACTTAAACGTAGCGCGCCAATCTCGTGGCAACTTTCATAAGCGATCCCAACCGAAATTCTTTTGAGAAGGTTCTCTGATACCGATCCCTGTGCATTCCAATGTTTCGGACGTGTTATGTGAACACATTTGGGATAAACAGAGGTTTACTAGAATCCCTCCACTGACACCAGAGTCACCGCCAGTAGACGTTAGATGAGCGCTGTCGCGCTATGGGGAGCACTTGTTAATTTTAGTCGTCTAACTATAGTAGGAGTGTTGTAACAGTTCTGGTTACTGTGCTGGTTAAGGACGTTATCTTGTTTTATGCAGGCCATTGCAACCACATGCACAACCACTAACAGATAAGCAGAAAAAGGCAAGACTGTACCAAGAGCAACAGAAAAAACTGAAACAATCTGGCGTGATTGGAAAAGGTCTAAAGTTAGATGCAGATAAACTGCTCTCAGGTAACATGTCGATACACATGTCAAATAAGAATATTTATTTCATGCTACAGTGAAACTCCGATTTTTACGCGCCCTAATTTACACGAATTCGGATATAACGTGATGAGTCATTGGACTCGCGACTATCCTTTTTTGCTATTTCCGGAACTGAAAAGTTTTTTGGTGAGTTAAAGTTGATCAACCTCGCAGCTAAATGCATATATATACCTACTGTGAGCTCGCATATGTTGCAAAAATTCACTACAACTCATTTGTATTGCTACTTTTGTGTAACATTTCTTCTCAAAATCAAAACAAATTACTTCTCTTACGAACGTAGCACCACAGTGATGTTTACACATCCGGGACACAGCGGAGCGATCTGCTTGATTCAGTAACAGTTCCTTTCTATGATAAAACAAGTTATAATTCCTTATTTGATGTTTATTCAGTACAAAATTGTGAAATTTGTTTAAATCATATGTCGTTATCTATATTACTTATGCAACAAGGAAACAAATATAGTGTTTTCGTTCGAGAAACTATTTACACTATGGCGTGCCGTATGGATACTATTTTGCGTTATCTGGCACTTCGTACAAATGACTTTTCAATAATAAGTTTTCAAAATAGTCAATTTGGGAGCGCATTTCTGGCTCAATGAGAACATTTTGTGATGTTTGCACACTGCAAGTATGCTCACAGTAGGTCTATATATGCCTTTTGTTGCAAGGTCTATCCGTTTTAAGCCGGCCTTAGGTCAGTGCGACGATCACCTATAGATCGCACAACTAAATGAGTTTACATGACTTGTTGCTGTGTGCATGTTGTGTACATGACTGTATGGATTGTTTCATTCGCGATTTTCTTGAACCCCGATTTAGCGCGACCCCGCTTTTTTCCGCGATGACATTTTATGGACCTCGACGATCGCGTTATAACGGGGCCACACTGTACTTGTTTTAGCACAAGGCTCAAACCAAGTGGTAAATATTTGATATATTTCTTCAGCTCACTCAGAATGTATAATATGTAATAATTATCTTTCAGATTTTGGTGGTTCAACTTCTAATGCAAGTAAACAACAGCAACAAACAAAGGTGTCGTCTTCAATGATGAAACCCCAGCAGCAAAATTCACACGTACAGCAGCCCGGATTAGGTAGTGAAGGATAACGATATTCCTATTTGTCGACATTATTCATGCTACTTGTTTTTGTTTAGTTACAACATAGTGATACACCAACCATGATTAACAAACAATTGATAAGTATTAGTCCTTGAAAATTAAAAATTACAAGCTCGATGTGTATACCCTGTGCACTCGAGCAAGCATCATACCACATCATCACAATGCAGGACTTGTTTTCCATGCGATACATGAGTAACTTGCACTGGCAGATGCGAATTTTGGAGACTTCTTGGGTGGACCTACTGCTCAACCAACAAAGCACTTGGGTCCTGTGAAACCGATCTCGCCTCAGATGTGTGGAACGCAGAAACATCAGCGGGCAGCCGGCATCCCGCATCACCTCAACAACGTTACACAGCTTGTGACTCAACACCACAGTACTCATCAAGGATCGCAGCAGCAACAGCAACACCAACAAGAGCAAGAGCAACCCTCACTGGGTAGGTTCAACCTTACTAGTTAGCACAGTAGCATTCTGCACGCTGCAAATTCACGATGGTATCAGAAGTGAGGCGGTCGCGTTTAGTTTTGTCGGCGTCGTTCCCGACGAGACGCGGACCTTTTCTCGTACGATCGTCGAGGACGCGCGGGAATGATGAGGCGGTGGCCTTTGTCATCGGCGTTTTACGTTGCTCGCCCCTTGACCCTTGACCTTTTTTGTGCATTGATGAAATGACTCTTTATTTCATTTTTTTGTGTTTTTGTGATTACTTTACAGCTTGGAGACAGTAAATCTAACATACACCAAACATAAGCAAGCGTAATACTTTTACATGGCTTTTAGAATATTGTATTGTAAAAAATACTGTATTATATGATATATTATATATTTCAATATCTGGTAACCACTATCAATAACATTAATCAATTATCTTCGATCCTCGATCGGTTAGGTGCAACCGACGATCGATGATGAAATTCCAACCGATTCCCATCACTAGACATTCGTTTACGTTGCTTACCCCCTTGACCCTTGACCTCATTTTTTGCAGAGCTGAAGACGATGATGCTGCAGTGCTCGGAGCTGAACGGCCCCGCGAAGGCGCGCGGGTTTCGCGTGACGACGCCGGTGACGGAGACGCGGCCGACGCACGTCATCGGCAAGCATCAGGTCAGCAGCCAGCGCTCGGCCGACTGGACGATCATGGACGAACGGCTGACCGACGACTTCACCCTCCCGCTCGGTAGGCGTCGGCACTTTTCCGCCTCGTCATCAATCCGGGGGGGGAGGGGGATAGGCAGGGTTTCTTCTGAGGGAAAATTAGACAAAGAAGGTGATGGCCAGTTTGGGAAAAAACGCGCATGATGGATTCGAAGACGTGCCGTAGGCACGCATGCGGGCGCTGTAGCCGTACGTGGGGGGAGAGAGGGAGGGGGAACATTTGCACAACGGCGATGTTAAATTTGACAACGGCGGTGCGCGACTGTGCCTCTTGTGTATAAGAAGCCCTGATAGGTGGTGTTATTTATGCCAAATGTAAATGCGTTGTGTCACAAGCTGAGACGTTGAATGTAGCATGTACTGCGATGTAGTGCAGACTAACGTAGAGCGGAGCAGTAGACGTTTCCTCGTATTGCGTAAACGCTGTTTGCAGTAACCCCGAAACATCTATTTTTGGCATGGATAATGATCTCACTTCACTAAAGGCTCACCCATGTCGTTCGGGTGAGTGAAGTTTGTTTGTCTCAGTTGCTT